TGAATATGATGAACGTGAGTGATTCAACAGGAATAGTTTTAGTGATCCTGGTGTCAGGTGGTATCATTATGGAATTATATACATTGATATACTTCATTTTGTTAAATATTTTCCACAGGTGTTCATCTGTTGTTTTGTTAAAATATCTAGTATCGACGAAAAACATTTGAGGATCACAAATCCAGAGGTCTTTGAAGAGAAATATCAAGAAGATTCTTGAAATTCAAGTATCATGCATTTTTATCTTGATCTAGATAACATGAATAACAACTATTAACATACAAGTATTGCTACTCTTGCTAGAATATTGCACAGGCTGGACCAGAAGAACGAATAGGTATTAAAATTCTATTGAATTTTGTTCATGTTCTATCGGTCTTTTATATTTTCTTCTGATATGGATTTTCAGCTGGATCAATATCCAAGCTTCATCGAGAAACACCTACATCTACCACTATTAAGTATATATTATATATCGGGGTATAATACACATAAATGTATATAAATTTTCACGAATACTTCGAAACAAGTTCAAAACGGACCTACGTGCACCTATAGTATGTAATTGTTATAATTGGTACTCGCATAAACATGCCAACTATTGAAGTTATCGAGTATAAATGTTATTGAAATTATTGAATGCATATGGAATTGGATCATTCACTTGATATACGATGCAAATTGGTTCATAATACTATAAGTATGGTAAGTTTATATTACCTACGGAAATGTACGGTGGCGATTGCTCTGATTTATAGGTTCAATATATACAATTAAACGAGAAATATTCGTTGCTTTTACTCAGAATCTATAGACGTTCCACGGAATAGGAAACTCATGGAATTGTCCTATATTCTGAATTCCGTCGTGTTACGTCTTCCAAAAAACCTCACATTAAGCGGCGTTATTGAATCTATAAATCAGGGGTGAAGATTTTAACGCTATGATAGCGATCAAAATGAATTAAAAAAACAATTTGGATAAACTGTTGGAAGGAATAATATGGTTATAACAGAAATGAATGTGTAACATGAGGATTTGCCTTTTCATGTTCCATAGTGTGAATTCTACAAATAGGTAATTGGGAAGCTTTGTAGAGATGCACTGCGTAACTCAATGATTTCTTTTCTAGGTTTTGAGGTACTTTACATAATTCCATCTTGTTAAATGTTTTCATTTTCAATGTCTATGACTGGATGACAGTTAGGTTATTTTAGTCCACTTCTCAACAACTCTTACACATTTGTCAGATGCCCATGAATATTGTTGTTTACATCATAGTCTCTTGCCAGTAGAAGACTGTTTGTCGCGTTTAGTGGCAGTGGCCTGTAATGGTGCAGGGATATTCGCAATGTTGTATCGACTGGTGAATCGACTAATGTATCGACTATCGTATCGACTATCGATGTCATGATCGATATTTAATATTTCTTTCAAGTTGCATCCCTGAATCTGACTTGAATCATATTATTTGGGTGGCTAGATTGACACTGCGCAGAGACGGATTTTGGTTTGTATTATTTTTTTGAAATGGATCACAAGTGCTCTGATTGACGGAAACTTGTTATTTGAGCAATTTCCGTTTATTCATCCTTCTTGTTGATTCCTTCTCTTGCGAAAAGGTTTCATGTGCTGAAGCCAAAATGAAGCCCTTTTTGGTTTTGACTCTCGTGCGATCAAGTCAGGTGGTAGACACCTACTTTTGTGTTAGGCCTTTCCGATAGGAAGGTAAGAAATATTAAATCTCTTTTTGTGTGGATGATATTCGATGGGGTATCTACATTTCAGATATCACGGCCTTATACAGGGGAGTACGGGGTACAGATGTGGAAGATATAAACTCCATTTTCTTTTGACCACATGCTATGTTTCTGGACTTGAATTGATTTTGAGCAATCAACACTGTTAACTGGATGGATCACTAAATATCGAATCTCATCAACTATGGGCATTTAGAAATCTTGAACTGTTTTCTGGACTTCACTGTTTGGACATCACTTGGACACTTTTTTCAATGGTTGAGGCACCTGAGGGATCTTCGTGCTTCGAAGCCTGAGTCACCAACACACTTGAAGGTGGAAGCAAGACCCTGGTGATTTCTTGTGCATGTCTCTGGGCATCTATAGGACCCGACAGCCTGGAATTTCTGGCAGAATCCTTGCTGCCAACAGTGCAAGTCCCTAGCAGCCCTACTGGTTTAGATAGCCAGTGATCCTGACTTCTGACAGGAAGTCCAGGGGAGTCCAGACTCCTGGTATGGTTGATGATCCTTCATCCCTAGGATTTTGTTACCTTGGAGCCTGAACTCCCAGAGCCCAGTCAGATAGTGAGACGTCCTGGTCCAGCTTGGATGGTAGGAAGAGCTTGCCCTGGTGGCAGCCTGTGGACCCGTCAGCCAGTGTTGCAGTGCAGAATCCAGTTGCCCTGGGTTAGACCAAGTGCCCAGGTCTCCAGGTGGTTGTGAATCCTGTCAACTGTGTGGGGATCCAGTTTTCCTAGCACACCTAACCCCTAACGCCGACTGAGGGAGGAGTGTCTTTGTTCATCCAGGTAGTGAGATCTAGTGGACCACAGTTGGAATCTCATGGTACAAAATCCAGAACTTGCAGCTAAGGTCAGAATTTTCCATATACATATTTTTTCCCTGTCTTGAGGACATTTCAATTGCATATTTTTTCCCTGTCTTGAGGACATTTCAATTGCATATTTTTTCCCTGTCTTGAGGACATTTCACTTACATATTTTTTCCCTGTCTGAGGACATTTAAATAGTTATTTTTCACTGTCTAATGTCATGAGATATTTATACACTTGTAGCTAACATATAACAGTCTAAGATCGGATTTTACATTTAATAGAATTATTGGGTCTGTTAGAGACTCTGTGAACCCAAAGTATAGGCCTATATGAAGGGAAATCTACCCTTGTACTGAGTTACAATCAAAGTACATATTTACCACCATTTCAAATACCTATTGTTGACATGTTAAGGTGAATAAATTGGTTAACAGTTATTTTGGCTTATATTTATATCTTGGATTTTTTTTCTCAGTAATTCAGCTGTGAAAACTGAGTGGCGCCTGACAAAAGGATAACCCCACTAGTTACCTATAAAAAGAACTAACTCACGACCTGCTCCCAAACAAGCGAGCTGCCGTGCCTATAACAAATCAAAATCTCTTTCTTTTCCAAAACATCAAAAGAGTTGTTATAAATGCTTATCAGTACAACATTTCACAACTATAAAAATGATTCGGTCCACCAGGCGACCAGGCCCCATCAGCCGCTCTCGGTCTGCTGAAAATCTTAGCCACTAGATCGCGATAACATGGTCATATCTCCTCATATTCCTCAACGTTCATGCTTCTACTGGAGTTATAGGAATTCAATTTGTATTTTTCATTTGAAATTCTTACTATTGAAAGGTTTTGCAAGCTTTGCCTAGAACTTGGCTGTATGTATGATTTCATTTTTCCGTCCCAGATAGGTGAATTGTTCAGATAGACAATTGAATCTAAGTGGGAACCATTCTTCTTTTTAGGATTGGAAGTGTTATTGCTTGAGTAATGAAGCTGATAAAAACCCATTCTAATCAGTTGGCTGAGACTATAACAGAGCCTTATTCGTATACTAATACCAATTTATGAGAAAAGTCCCAGAAGAAAGTTCTTTGCTGAGTTTTTTTACCATTTGTAGCCAACATAGTTACAAACGTAGTAATGTGGTTTTGGGTGTATGATGAATTGCCATTCATCATACAGGGCGTAGAAAGAAATTATGAATTGAGACTCTATCACGAATCTACGATTAGAGGTCTATAAAAATCACAAGTTTCCATCGTTCAAGTTTGAACCCCCTGATTGGGCATGAAAGTGTTGAAAAGGAATATTCTCAGATAAATAATGAACATACAAAAATGGATATATTTTTATATAAAGCAATACATTGAGAATTCGCATTATCTATGTGATGAGAATATCAACTCCTTTTCAGTTTATTCAATAGAAAACAACTACTTTCCTGGCTATATGCCACGACGAACATTGAATTATATCTATTGAACACACACGATGAGAGTTTGAAAATAAAATATAAAATCTTCTGAAATTGAGAATTTGCATTCCCCATCAGACAAAGATATGTATATGCACATATCATTCTGAATATTCAACAGAAAACAACTGCTTTCCTGGCTATTTGCCACGTCGAACATTGAATTATTTCTGATGAACATCCAAAGGAAGAACATGAAAAATAAAAAAAATCCCCAGAAATTGAGAATTGACATTCTTTTTCAAATCGGATGAAAAATATGATGTATTATGATTAAGAAATATAACTTACCAATATATTCAGCATTGAAATGAAAATTGGAATGTATAGAAGAAGTATACTGGCATAAACTCTGATCTTGATGAACTTGAAAATTCCAATATACTCAATAGTAACAAATCAAATAGTATGTATGTGTCCTATCTAATCAAATATTACCTCTTCATCTTCACCTACTACCAATAGATGATGTAGAACAATTTAGCATTCGAATGATGGTCTCCCTGTACATCAGACCAAGAGAATGATTGGATCTATGGGATATTTCAAACTGACAGTAAGTTGATTTTGAATTCTACGTTATTCTAGATTGACTAAAAAGAGATCTTATATTATGATTGTTATCTCAACCTACTGTTCACTCTTCTGTATTAATTTATCAAGTTCAACCTCTGACGAATCATGAAGGGTATAAACTTTGCAGGAATATACATATACAGTATACACATAATACGATATAATACCTATTTAATGTTTTATAGTTTTGTCACTTGAGTAGTATGGCGAATGAAAACCATCATAATCGGGTCAAGCTCCGACGACAATGTTCTGTGAGGAACCTGTGATGCTTCAACATATTAGTTGAGATTGAGAAGCTGTGTTGCAGGAATAGGAAGGTAGTGAATAAACCTTTTCGAATTGACCTATATATGAGAAATCCAATGATACCTGTTTCAGTTTCAACGTGATGAATAACACACACTGCACTGTATTTATATCTATAAGTACCTGGAAACAATGCAATATGTCACAGCAACCAAAGACCATCCTTTAGGTAAACAACACTGGCATTCATTCAATTCAATAATAAACTGCGATAAAAATGCTCCAAATTAGTATCTCCAGCTGATCATAGACACTTATCAGCTTATTTGAAATTAAATCATTTGATTTGATCTGATAGGTATCAGTGCTCCAATCATGAGTATAATGTTGCCACCTCCAAATTGAATCATATACAGGGTGTCCGGAAATTATGCGCAAAAAATCAAGGAGGTGATCCTACATGATGAAATATGAAATTCAGTTCATATGTACGTGGGTCCGGAAATGCATAGTTATCGGTATTTTATGAATATATATCAAATGTCCGTCCACCGATTTTCTTCAAAATTTGGCGATGATAATTTTTATCATGGGGAGCTGATATAGCCACACTTCAATTGGAATTATGAAATCCAGTGGCGTCCCAGGGGCAACCTACCGAATATTATTGTTAATAAAATGTGCGCCACTGATTTTCTTGAATTTTGTATCTATATAACCTATTGACCAACAAAAAATACATCATTTGGGTCTCCTGAATTGTTTTGATAATTTGCTTCATTTCCATGGAAAAAATTAGATACCAATGTATTGCATAAATTTGTGCCTAAAAATTCCTTCAAAAACTAGGGTGGAAATAAATGCATGATCAAGGTCCATAGACATAGAATGAGTATGATGTTTCATCTGTTTCAAGCATTTGTTACTACATGTTTGACACACTCTTCACTCTGTATATTGAGAACTATGTATATGTCAAACATGAATTATAAAATATTTGAAGAAAATAAATCTTCATTCTTATTCTACGTCGATGGAAATGGATCACACATTCAATTTCACCAATGTTTTTGAAGCAATAATTTGCATACAATGTATTGGTATTTATTTTTTTCCTCGGAAACGCAGCGAAATACCAAAACATTTCAGAAGACCAAAATGTTGTATTTTTAGTTATTCATTAGGATATGAAGATATAGAATCTAAAAAAATCAGTGGCGCACATTTTATTGACAATAATTTTCGATAGGGTGCCTCCGGGACGCCACTGGATTCAACAATGACAATTTGATGTTGGTTAGATCAGCCTCCCTTGACAAATAATATCATTGCCAAATTTGAAGAGAATCGGTGGAAGCATATTTGAGATATTCATAAAAAAACGATTTTTTTCTAAAAAGTTTAACACACTGTATCTTGAAAACTATGCATTTGCGGACCCACGTATATCTGAGAAAAATGTCATGTTTCCTCATGCAGACTCAACCCTTTGATTTCCTGCGCATAATTTCCGGACACACTGTATAATAATTTCACATGCAGCTGTTTTATATATTGCTAAATAGAACTTTTGTTCTATTTCGGTTTTTGTTGGAATTGCTAACATTTATGGCTGCAAATACCATGTCTGGCTCTGGCTATATATGCAGCTGAAACATATTTGCGACAAAGGTTATCTGGAGCAGTTTTGCTTTTTGTTGACATAAAATTAATTCGTGACTCACTGAATAGCGGCCAATAAATGTTGTACGATGTTCTCTGAGTTAGATTGAGAGTTATCTCGCAATAGAACTTCCACATTTTCATTTTTAATCATGGCAACATAGTTATTTATTATACAAGGGAAAAAAGTAGTAGATTGTAGCTCCAGGTTGTGTTGTCTCCCGACGCGTAGCGGAGGGAGACAACAAACCGTGAGCTAAAATCTAATATTTTTCCCGTGTATAATAAACTATTTTTTTCTGTGACAGAAGAAAGGAAGAATCAATATTGAGAAGTTATTACATTATTTTGGAATCTGAAAATTATCAACGTGAAATTTTAAGTTTTTAACAGTAGGGACACCGCGTTGTAGGCATCTTTATCATTCATTTGAAGTAATCAAATATCTGATGTCACTTCTGTCAGTCTAATTCTGTGATTTTATTTCAAAAAATTGCGAATTCAGTGATTGTTTAGTAATATACGTAACCGCGAAGTCGAATGGAAGATAAAAGGACTTGCAGTTCTTTCTCGGAGACGGTATACCGTCTCCGTATTATTGACTCATTTTTCGGAACTATAGCACAACGAAAGCCATCAACAGTGTTCATATATGTGATATATATCCGGGAAAAAAGTACTCACTTTTTTCCCACGGGAAAAAAGTAATTCATGAAAAGTGACATTTTATAACCTGCCAACAGAGATGAAATGCCAAACTTTTTTCCCGTCACATAAAAAATAAATTTATTAACAGATGATTCAGTAATTTTTGATTGGTAGATGTCAATTCATCCTACATTCAAAAAACCAATGCCCGATGACAGTGCTAACGTCAACAAATTATAATTCTCAGATTTCAGTTCGTTATAGTTTTAGTTATATTTTGGGAGATGAAAATTGTGTATATCATGAAGAATGGCTGAAAGAATAACTGGACTTCAGGTTACTGATGAGGATATAATATCCGAAATGAATTCATATTACCTGTTTGTGAGAGATATAATTCCCATATCACTGATACGAATGTTTTTTTTTGAAAATCCAAGCTCATCAAGATCAGAGTTCATACAAGTATACTTCTCCTATACATTCCAATTTTCATTTCAATTTGATACGATCAAACTCACCTTAATACAAAGTTGTTTAGTTTGGGCGCTATAGATGGCTCTGAAGTTACAATCTTCAAATCGTTTTTGCGTCATTACTTTGAAACGGCTCATGAGTTTTTACTCAAATTGAGTGCATTGGCATAGCTTCTTTGAGCAATAAAACTCATATCATGATTATGAGGAATATCATTCCATGGGAGTAGAACTAAACAACTTTGTACTGAGGTAAGTTTGCAGGTTAGGTTAGTTTGGTCGCAGGAATATGTGGTAGGATTTTTTGAAGACTAACGCCACTAACTCTTGTGTTTGTTTGTGCTAGTTCCTTTTTAATTTATCAATTCCATATCTTTCAACTCTTGTCAAAAGTTGAAGAAATTCCCTAGTTCCATTTACACATCCATTTCATTTTGAAAACTGTATATTATTTTGGATATTATAGCGATCAATAAAGTACATATAGTCACAATCAATATTGTTATCTTATCTGAGAATATTCCTTTTCAATACTTCCACCCAATCAAGGAGTTCAAACTTGAACGATAAAAACTTGTTATTTTAATAGACCTCAATCACAGATTCGTGATTGGGTTTTCTCAATTCAAAATTGCTTTCCACGTCCTGTATGATGAATATCAATTTATCATACATCCAAAAACAAATGCCTGATGACAGTGGTTATGTCAACAAATAATAATTCTCAGATTTCAGTTCGTTATAGTTCTAGTTATATTATAGGGAGATGAAAATTGTATATATCATGCAGAATGGCTGGACTTCAGTTTACTGATGAGGATACATGTTTTACTCGAGTTAAATCATATAACCTGTTTGTGAGAGATATAATTTCCATACTACTGATACGGATGATTTTTTTGGAAGTACCAAGCTCATCAAGATCAGAGTTCATACAAGTATTATACTTCTATACATTTCAATTTCCATTTCATTACCGATCATATTGGTAAGTTATATTTTTATATCATAATACATCATATATATTATTCGATTTGAGAGATAATGGCGAATCTCAATTTGAGAGGATTTTGATTTTTCATGCTCTCTTTTTGGATATTCAACAGATATAATTCAATGTTCGACGTGGCAAATAGCCAGGAAAGTAGTTGTTTTCTGTTGAAAATTCAGAATGATATTATATGCATATCTCTATATGAAGGAGAATGCAAATTCACTACATCAGAAAATTTTGTTTTCAAATTCTTATCGTGTGTGTTCAATAGATGTAATTCAATATTCGTCGTGGCATATAGCCAGGAAAGTAGTTGTTTTCTGTTGAATAAACCGAGAAAGAATTAATATTTCCATCACATGGAGAATGCGAATTCTCAATGTATTTCTTTATATACAGCGTGTCTCACTTTAGACACCCCCCCTCTATATCTCAGTTATTAGTTATGCGATTTCAACCAAATTTGGTGTGGTATGAATAACCATCAATATGATCGGTTTTTACAGAGATGATCCTGATGGACATTGCCGTGCGTTTTCATTGAACTAAAAAGGGGTCGATTGTTCATAAAATCATATTAGGCATTTTTTCACAGGAAATCTAACCTCATATTATTGTTCCTCATGCTTTCGAGCCTCCATATGCAAAATATCGCCTAATTCATTTTCAGTCTCGAATAAATAGTAACTTCAAATCAACTACGAATTTTGGAACGTTCAATGGCTCTGTTAGGTGGAAAATCATGATTTTGAAGAAATAACTAGTTACACTTCAATATGTTGAACTTACCGTTTCCGAGTAAATAATTATTACGTTCGCAAAAATGCTGTTTAGATGTGCCTGTTTTTCTGAAACCCTTCATAGGCATCTTATGAAAATCCACATATTATGTGGGTTTGAAATCATGAAGAACAATATTATGAGGTCAGTTTCCCTGTGAAAAAATGCCTAATATAATTTAATAAAAAAATGACCACTATTCATTTCGATAAAAATGCACGGCACTGTCTAAAATGATCTCTGTCTTTGAAGTGCTGGTCATATTGATGATAATTCATACCGATACAAATTTGGTAAAGATCACACTACTGATAGCTGAGATATAGAGGGGGGGCCGTTTGAAATGAGACACGCTGTATATATATATATATAAATTTTTTTGTGTTCATGAATATATCTGAGAATATTCCTTTTCAATATTTTTTCATATATAATACCACAAGTGATAATATTTTGCAGGAAATATTCGGTGATTGTAACGACGGCTTGTTGCCTAGTAATTTCGTGAATGACATTGTTATCAAAACTACGAGCCGTAGGCGAGTAGTTTTGGATCAATGTCATGAGCGAAATTAGAGCAGCAAGCTGGAGTATGTCAATCGACGAATATTTCCAGGAAAAATAGTATCACGAGTTGTATTCGTATGACTATTTCAGGATTGAATGAGGACAATATATATGAGAA